ACGTATGTTTCATAAATTTCAAAACAGTATAACATATAATACATTTAAATTTTACATAGGCTAAAACATTTAGCTATATATGAATTTTGAGCCCATTTTATGTATTTTAAGTATTTTCGCTGTTATCTTCTAATGTTACTCATTGTTATGGGCTATTCACAAAACTCATAGTTGATACACACTTGGCTATGCATCTTAATCTTAACTTTCAATATTGTAGCATTTTCAAAAAAAAAAAATCCTTACCGTTTCATTGTAACTATTGTGTTATTAGCAACTTTTTTTCTTATTGCTCAAAGTTCCTTCGAAGGTTTATTTTTTTCTTCTTTGCTTTAAATATTTTCATTCATTTGCCTACCTGCAAAAGAAGTGAAAATATTTTCAAAAAGTCAAAGGAAGAGATTAAACAACCCGCTTTCTTTTGGTGCAATCATATCGGAGCACCACAGATTTAAAAGCTAATTGACAAAGTTTGGTGTCAGCGTGAATTAGCACTATTAAGCTTTACGTTTTTGGCAATCTATGGGACACAGGGCTAATATTTCATATTAACACCCAAAATGTCGTGAATAAAACAATAAAGATGAGCACAACCATCCGAATAATGTACATTACGGCAGCGAACGTGCGAACGTTTCCTCAAAGTTGAAGAAGAGACACGAGGCGACAGAGATGTGGTTCTACAGAAGGATGCTAAGGATATCATGGACCAAGCGTGTGAGCAACGATGAGGTCTTAGAGAGGATGCAAACAAGGAGGAGGCTTATACTTAATATCAGAAAGAGGCAGCTGAAGTTTCTGGGACACATAATGAGGAAGGAGGGCCTGGAGAATCTAATACTCACGGGTCGAATAGAGGGAAAGAGAGACAAGGGAAAACAATGCGTGACATATCTGGCGGGCGTAAGCATTGGATGACAGAACGTGGTCTGGGGGAGGCGGTAGAGAGAAGGAACTTGTCGAGAGCTGCAAGGGATAGAGGGAGGTGGAGAGCCATGATCGCCTACATCCTGAAAGGACATGACACATAAAAAGAAAAGAATCCTAGAGACCACACTAGTTTTCTTTTTTCGGATGCCTGGACACCAACACTGTTATTTTTAATTCTCCGTAGAATTTATCTTCTTTTATAATAACAAAAAAGATGCTCGCTTCCCTCCTGCTATACTTAATCTCAACAAGATTCAGATCAAACCAAAAGTGGATTATTGCTGCCATATCTTCGTAGGAACTCCCCATTTCTTAATTTTACAGTCTTGAGAAAATGTAAAAGTGTTTCCATGGCCTTGTAGTTGATGACTTGTTTGCCAAACGGCATGGTCTTTCCCACAGACAAACCTTGCCTGTCTCTTTGTTCACTGCGGTTGTTCTCGTTGGACATATTCGGGCGAACTACATTCCGTTGTTCATCCAGTTGAGTCCTTAACTTCTAGGACTCAACATGCCACGGACACAGTGTCGAATCATCCTTATTCGTTTCATATTCTATTACTTAAGAAGTAATTTCAACATAGCTTCTTTCCCAGAACTGTTTCAACGTGAAATGATGAGGCACTTCCTTGATCGCTTGCACTTTTAGCATCTTCAAGTTGAGAGTCAACTGTTATCTATCCTCGATATCCTCATAATATGCAACCTTTTCAGCCTCGCTACTCTACAGCTATTTTTATATTATACTGCATGAAAAATAGAAAAAAAAAATCGGCTTTATCCAAGAATTTTTAGGATTCTAACTTCTGCCGCATAACACAGAAATTTAATCCGGCAAACAAACAAGATCTGCTGCCGCGTAAAAAAAGAAACGAAAGACGATATTCCTTTGAGATTTATTAAAAAATATTTTCAGACATTTTGATTTAGATTAATTGCCTCGTTTCCATATAAAAAATATAACAGACGCCATCACTAGATGCAAGCAACGCTGGCAATCGGCCGATTATTGGCTTGTTTGAGTTAAACAGGGAATCATTTTCAAACCTACAAATCACTTTCACGTGGAGTTATAGAAATAAATTTTTAGAATTAGAAATAATTAATGGACTTCAAATAATTGACATGGACTATATTGAAAATAGCATCACTTAATAAAATATTCAACGAAATGTTAGAGGTGTTATTTTAGTAAAAGCTACCGCTCATGTATTAAGATTAAAAGCTTTCCCAGCATTTAAATGATTTTTGATTTTTCATATAACTTTACAGTTTTATCTGGCAAATTTTCTCTATTATTAGAGAATCCAAAGAAGAATCAACAATATTAATGGTCCTGATCTGGTAGTCCGGCTTCAGTCATTTTCCCACCACCGTAGGTTGCCTCTCTTTGTCTTTCATATTAATTGTTCGGATGAATTCTTCGCTATGGTACCTAGACTTTTTGAATTTAAGCGCATGGAACCATATTTGGCTCCGGAGAATTGCATAGTCTGCTTAGTACTTAGATGGGTGACCGCTTGGAAACATCAGATGCAGTAAGCTTAGGTACTGTAATGGATAATAGCTAAGAATTATTAATCGTAGATCTGAGTACCAATTCCCGTTGGGTACGTTATATTCACGTAGGTGCAAATACCCGTGGAAAATGTATGTATCCACCTCTTCATCCCCCAGCTATGGGTTAATTAGTAAGACTTGTAGCCCTAAACCATTATTATCTCCGAAAAATTCCTGCATTCTAAAAACATATACTGGCTTTAAATAACCTCCAAAGGGTTGATAAACAGTAAAAAATTAAGTAATCAATTAACCAGATAAAATCAGATGAGGAAAAAAATTGGAATTTAAAGAAAAATATATCCTAACTGTCGTTTTTAAATAAAACCCTGGAAAACCGAAGAATCAAATTTAATAAAATTACTAGACATCTCATCAATTTACTGCTGAGCTGACTGAATGAAACCGTAAATTCTATGTTAACACTTTCTTTTCTCGCAGTTTCCTGTTTTGGAACGCCTTTCAAGCTCCATGTATTCTAGCCATCTTTAATTTGCAAAAATTTAAATGCAATATCCATCGTAATCTGCTGTCCTCCTAATTACTCTTCCCGTTCGTAATTAGTGTTTCTTTTCCTAATTCTTTCACACTCTGTAACCCATTGTGCCTTAGTGGCTTTACTACCTTTGATGGGTGTGATACCGATTAAAAAATATTTTTAGATATGTTACGGTTTATATTTACCGGAAAAGAAAAAGCAGGCTTATTTTTTTTTTTTTTTCATTTTTATTAGTTTTTCTTTTTCTATACAAAATACTCAGTCGATGTTTCGCCCAATTTCTTGTAGATTTCTCCCGCGAATTCAAAAATCGCAAAAGCCCTCACGTCTATCTTACAAAAGATGTCCCTCGTTATCCGCGTAATCGCTGTGACTGGACTCAACAGGAGAATCACACTACAGACCCTGGTGGACATTCTGGATTTTTTAATCTCCTGAATTAATAGCGATTTTCCAAGCGTGGCTTAGATGTGGCATAAGGCTGAAATTAGGAGGCACCCAGTGAGGATCGAACTCCCTACTCAGTCGTAATTGTTCTAGCTAGACAAGCTTGCTAACCATTACACAGCCTCGAGGTGCCCAATAGTGATTTTCCAAGCGCAGCTCAGATGTGGCACAAGGCCGAAAGTATTGGGCACCCCGTGAGGATCTAACTCACTACTCAGTCGTAATTGTTCTAGCTAGACAAGCTTGCTAACCATTACACAGCCTCGAGGTGCCCAATAGTGATTTTCCAAGCGCAGCTCAGATGTGGCACAAGGCCGAAAGTATTGGGCACCCCGTGAGGATCGAACTCACTACTCAGTCGTAATTGTTCTAGCTAGACAAGCTTGCTAACCATTACACCGCCTCGAGGTGCCCAATAGTGATTTTCCAAGCGCAGCACAAGGCCGAAAGTATTGGGCACCCCGTGAGGATCGAACTCACTACTCAGTCGTAATTGTTCTAGCTAGACAAGCTTGCTAACCATTACACCGCCTCGTGGTGCCCCTTAGCTATTTCCCAATCGTAGCTTAGATGTGGCACAAGGGGGCGCCCTTTGAATTTGAACTCATCACTCAGTCGTAATTGTTCTAGCGAGGCAAGCTTGCTAGCCATTACACCACCTACTGAATTAATATTCTGAGACAGTAGTAGACAAAATGCGTGTTTTCAGCAAAAGAGGCAGGCCTCAATGTAAATAACAAATCGGGGATACTTACAAATAAAAGTAAGTACAGAGATTTAAATATATGTCGGAATGTACGGCACAAAAATCCGAGGACGGATTTGAATAACCAAAGTTGCATTCCAAAAGCTAAGGAGGTTAATAAGAACAAGAAAATTTTCTATAGAAACAAACAAATGAGTACTGAACAGTTACGTCATATCTGTCCTCCTGTATGGCAACGAAGGCTGGACAATCTCATGAAACATGAAGAGACTTCAAGCAACAGAACAATGGTAGTTTAGATTTTCATCTATTTTTTATTATTTTTTTTATTTTTAGGAGACAACCCAACTTCATGTAAAATATATATATATATATATATTTAAAATTAATTAAGAAACAGCTGTCCTCCTATATGGCGGTGGATGCCGGACAATTTCCAAGATGAAGAAGAGACTTGAAGCAACATGTGTTGAAGATATCACGGACAGAACATGTGAGCAACGAAGCGGTTTTGGAGAAAATGTAAACCAAAAGTAAATTCATACTTTACATCAGGAAGAGGCAGTTGGAAATTCTTGGGCACGAAACGAGGAAAAAGAACTTGCCAAATCACAGGACATATTGAGGGAAAGAGGGAGAGAGGAAAGCAATGCATAACATATTGATGGAAAGAGGGAGAGAGGAAAGCAATGCATAATATATTGAGGGAAAGAGGGAGAGAGGAAAGCAATGCATAACATATTGAGGGAAAGGGGGAAAGAGGAAAGCAATGCATAACATATTGATGGAAAGAGGGAGAGAGGAAAGCAATGCATAACATATTGAGGGAAAGGGGGAAAGAGGAAAGCAATGCATAACATATTGAGGGAAAGAGGAAAGCAATGCATAACATATTGAGGGAAAGAGAGAGAAAGAGAGAGGAAAGCAGTGCGTAACATATTGAGGGAAAGAGGGAGAGAGGAAAGCAATGCTTAACATATTGAGGGAAAGAGGGAGAGAGGAAAGAAATGCGTAACATATTGATGGAAAGAGGGAGAGAGGAAAGCAATGCATAACATACTGAGGGAAAGAGGAAAGCAATGCATAACATATTGAGGGAAAGAGGAAAGCAATGCATAACATATTGAGGGAAAGAGAGAGAAAGAGAGAGGAAAGCAGTGCGTAACATATTGAGGGAAAGAGGGAGAGAGGAAAGCAATGCATAACATATTGAGGGAAAGAGAGAGGAAAGCAATGCATAACATATTGAGGGAAAGAGGGAGAGAGGAAAGCAATGCTTAACATATTGAGGGAAAGAGGGAGAGAGGAAAGAAATGCGTAACATATTGATGGAAAGAGGGAGAGAGGAAAGCAATGCGTAACATATTGAGGGAAAGTGGGAGAGAGGAAAGAAATTGTTGTGTATGATACACCTAATTTACATAAGCGGACTACCGACCATATAAATATGGGTTGGTACCGGAAGACGGGGAAGATAGTAGAGATTAAGAAATTGAATCCAGAGACTCTGCCCGACTGCGATTTAGTCAACCCATTATGCAGGAACAGTCTTCCCAAGAATATACCAAACTAACTGTAAATATTGTGTACCTATTCTTTGTTTCAATACATTTTGTTAACGTACATTTTGTGTTGTATTATTCCATGCTTATTTAAGCTTCAACAGAAATGTATAACATATTGAGGGAAAGAGGGAGAGAGGAAAGCAATGCATAACATATTGAGGGAAAGTGGGAGAGAGGAAAGAAATGTATAACATATTGAGGGAAAGAGGGAGAGAGGAAAGCAATGCATAACATATTGAGGGAAAGAGGGAGAGAGGAAAGCAATGCATAACATATTGATGGAAAGAGGAGAGAAGAAAGCAATGCATAACATATTGAGGGAAAGGGGGAGAGGAAAGCAATGCATAACATATTGAGGGAAAGTGGGAGAGAGGAAAGAAATGTATAACATATTGAGGGAAAGAGGGAGAGAGGAAAGCAATGCATAACATACTGAGGGAAAGTAGGAGAGAGGAAATCAGTGCCTAATATATTGACGGAAAGAGAGAAAGAGAGAGAGAGAGTGAGGAAACAATGCGTAACATATTGAGGGAAAGAGAGAGAGAGGAAAGCAATGCATAACATATTGATGGAAAGAGGGAGAGAAGAAAGCAATGCATAACATATTGAGGGAAAGTGGGAGAGAGGAAAGCAATGCATAACATATTGAGGGAAAGTGGGAGAGAGGAAAGAAATGTATAACATATTGAGGGAAAGAGGGAGAGAGGAAAGCAATGCATAACATACTGAGGGAAAGTGGGAGAGAGGAAATCAGTGCCTAATATATTGAAGGAAAGAGAGAGAGAGAGAGAGAGAGAGAGAGAGTGAGGAAAGCAATGCGTAACATATTGAGGGAAAGAGGGAGAGAGGAAAGCAATGCATAACATATTGATGGAAAGAGGGAGAGGAGAAAGCAATGCATAACATATTGAGGGAAAGAGGGAGAGAGGAAAGCAATGCATAACATATTGAGGGAAAGTGGGAGAGAGGAAAGAAATGTATAACATATTGAGGGAAAGAGGGAGAGAGGAAAGCAATGCATAACATATTGATGGAAAGAGGGAGAGAAGAAAGCAATGCATAACATATTGAGGGAAAGAGGGAGAGAGGAAAGCAATGCATAACATATTGAGGGAAAGTGGGAGAGAGGAAAGAAATGTATAACATATTGAGGGAAAGAGGGAGAGAGGAAAGCAATGCATAACATACTGAGGGAAAGTGGGAGAGAGAGGAAATCAGTGCCTAATATATTGAAGGAAAGAGAGAGAGAGAGAGAGAGAGTGAGGAAAGCAATGCGTAACATATTGAGGGGAAAGGGGGAGAGGAAAGCAATGCATAACATATTGATGGAAGAGGAGAGAAGAAAGCAATGCATAACATATTGAGGGAAAGAGGGAGAGAGGAAAGCAATGCATAACATATTGAGGAAAGTGGGAGAGGGAAAGAAATGTATAACATATTGAGGGAAAGAGGGAGAGAGGAAAGCAATGCATAACATATTGATGGAAAGAGGGAGAGAAGAAAGCAATGCATAACATATTGAGGGAAAGAGGGCGAGAGGAAAGCAATGCATAACATATTGAGGGAAAGTGGGAGAGAGGAAAGAAATGTATAACATATTGAGGGAAAGTGGGAGAGAGGAAAGCAATGCATAACATACTGAGGGAAAGTGGGAGAGAGGAAATCAGTGCCTAATATATTGAAGGAAAGAGAGAGAGAGTGAGAGAGAGAGTGGGGAAAGCAATGCGTAACATATTGAGGGAAAGAGGGAGAGAGGAAAGCAATGCATAACATATTGATGGAAAGAGGGAGAGAAGAAAGCAATGCATAACATATTGAGGGAAAGAGGGAGAGAGGAAAGCAATGCATAACATATTGAGGGAAAGTGAGAGAGAGGAAAGAAATGTATAACATATTGAGGGAAAGAGGGAGAGAGGAAAGCAATGCATAACATACTGAGGGAAAGTGGGAGAGAGGAAATCAGTGCCTAATATATTGAAGGAAAGAGAGAGAGAGAGAGAGAGAGAGAGTGAGGAAAGCAATGCATAACATATTGAGGGAAAGAGGGAGAGAGGAAAGCAGTGCGTAACATACTTGTTGAGCTTGTGTAAACGGGTGGTAGAACGGGTTTAGTATAAGTAGCTTTTTGCTAGTTATACTAAACCCGTTCTACTACCCAAAAACTTATTAAGAGCAACAAGGTACAACAAGATGTGGATGGCCATAATCACCTACGTCTTGAATGGACACAGCACATAAAAGATGATTAATGTTATTAAAACAAAGCTTTCACAAAAACGTAATAGGATTTTATATCTAGAAACCAATTTCTGCAGTAAAGAGCCAAAGAACAGAGAATTAAGTTTGAATAAAACGTATTTAGTCCGCTTTTGGGACATTTTCTATTCCAAGTATAGATTCAGCATTCTGAAATTAATAGGAATGAAGCCCTACATCATTATTTTCTGATACAAAGGGTATATCGAAGGCAAAAGAGACAGAATAAGGCAGCTGGTCGAGTTTGGGTAAATGGATGGAAGGAAGGCAAGTGGGATTTTTGATGATGGGAAAAAAGTGCCTAAGGGCGACAAGAGATTTTATGTACCAGAAATGTATTTAGCACTAAATAAGAATAGAGGTCTAGATCATGATTTTCTGATAGATACAAGCAAAATTCTACCGAAAACTGATATTTGCCGCTCAAAATACTTCGCCAAAAGTTGGTAATGAAGAGCGTAGCCGATAAAAGGAACTGAGTACATTTTAAATATTTTTTTTAATTTTCTTATATTTTACAGGCTCAGATTGTTTTAAAAATTGAGAAATTACACTAAAAGGGGGATACATTTTTGTCTCGGCTATACTGTTAAGGTTATTCGATGTTGGGATGTCAGAGTTAAAAGAGAAGGCAAGATAAAACAAAAAAACTGTGATAATTTGAATTAATTTTGTGTTTTATCCATTTGATATACATAACTTTTTTTGTTTCAAGTCACTTATAACATTGATTCCAAAACGTTTTTTCTTGCAAAAAGAGGCTAAAAATTGAAGAATCAAAAATTGATGAATCAAAAGTTGATCTTCTTAAACCAAATGATTGAACATATGCAAATTTTTATTAAATACAAACGATCATAACTTAAATATTTGAAGTTATAACAAAGAACTGTTCTGACCTTCTGCGATTGTATAATTTCAGAAAAAAAATCTGTTATATAACAGTATTTTTATCGACTCTCTTATATGGAAGTGAATGCTGAACAATGTTCTTACAGGTAAAGATAAAACTGTAAGCTACAAAAGCGTGCTGAGAATTCCGTTTACAGAACACCTAGGAAGTCTTGAGCAAAATGGAAAAAAATGATACTTCTGTCTATATTTCTGAGATGGGGTATTGCAACTATTTACACTATCTACATAATTCGGACTATTGCCCTCGTCTTTTGCCATATTCATGATGGAGATACTGACTTTCCTTGCACAAAAGAACATACATTGGCATGAGATCAGACATATATCGCCAGGATGAAGGCTTGGCAAAGGGCTCGCCACTATAACCAGAAATGTCTAATATATATATGGAATACTCCGAGGAAATGTCATTAGAGATACAAAGATGACACTGTCATACCCTCAACTTAACTCACTAGGAAGAGGCCCAGCTATTAATTGACGATATGAACTCAATAAGACCACCGATACAGTTTAGACTGGAGAGAGAACTAACATTCCTGGATGTAATAATAACTCAAATAGAGAATGAGTTCAAGACATTCGTATACAGCAAACCAACATTCACTGAACAATACCTCCCACCACCTATACAGAAACGAATGAGATCGTCCGCTGTCTCCAAATTCGAGCAAAATCCTAAGTGGCGACCCAGAGACATATAAACAAGAAGTGATCAGAATAAGCAGTACGCTATAACTTACCAATTACTATGGGTAGACGACATCACCTCACACAATCTGGGATTGAAGGGTACAAGAATATAGCTGCACTCAGAAAACAGCCTCAGTCTGCTTTACCTTATGTGATGGGTTTATCGGAAAGGATACAAAATATATGCGATCCATATAACACCAGGACAACCTTCAAGAGTGTTTCAACACTAAGCAGATATATATTCTGATTAAGATCACCCATAGGGGAGAACATGATTAAAGGCTCTGTGTAATGCCATCCGGTGCAGCTGCGGTAAGAGAAAGGTCGTCCCCTTAAGATCAGGAACACGAGGGGAAACAGAAAAATCAGACGTAGCTGACCATATATGGAGAGAAAAGTGAGATCACCTCCCTCTGTGGGATGAAGTTGAAATAATAGACAAGGGACATCACTGGGAAATACAAAAGGAATCGTAGCATATGCTAAGCCACAAAAATCTCCTAACCCGGCCAAGCTGAGACATGAAGACAATATGTGAACCAGTAATACAGAAAGCTACAAAAAAAAAAAACAAAAAAAAACAATAACAAAAAATTGTTATATGAGCTCTGGTAAAAATGGTTACTGAGACATTAGTTTTATAAGTCACTCACTCTCCAAGGACGCATGGCTGAGTGGGTAAAAGGATCGATTTTGTAATCAAAAATATGACTAGACCGAAGTTGTGTGTTCAATACCTGACCACAACAGAAGGAACACAAACTTTGAGAGTTTAGTAAAGGGAATTAACTGAAACTGAGATATAAAAAAGGCATGGCACGTGGAATTAGAACAATCTACTCCAGTAGAGTAAATAAAAAGTTCGGTTCGAAATTCCAACGTATACCAAGAAGGCAGGACCGTACAACCGCCGAAACAATCCGAATGATGTAAATGGAAGAAAAAGATTCTTATACCCAGAATCAGAAAAATGCTGTTCAAATGTTTTGGACACATAATGAGGAAAGGGGGTTTGGAAAGTTTGACATTCCCAGGGCACATCGAAGTCAAAAGAGACAGAGGAAAACAGGTAAACACCTGGGGTTTGTCTATATTTCTGAGATGAGGTATTATGTACAGTATTTACATTAGTCGGACTATTGTCCTCATCTTTGTCGCCATATTTGTCACAACGTTTCGGCCGTTGTACGCTTCGGCCTTCTTCAGGTGGTTGGAATTTCGAACTGAACCCTTTATTTCGATCGCTGGGGTAGACTGTTCTAATTCCACGTCAAGGACACATGACACAGTGGATAAAGGCGTTGGTTAGATCCAGTGACAGACCCAAAGAAGGTGAGTTCAATTCCTGGTTAAGGCAGTGGAGAACTTTCAGAGGGAAAATTAGCAGGAGATAACTGATAACTGACATCCATCAAACATGGCACGTGGAATTAGAACAGTCTACCCCAGCGATCGAAATAAAGGGTTCAGTTCGAAATTCCAACCACCTGAAGAAGGCCGGAGCGTACAACGGCCGAAACGTTGTGACAAATATGGCGACAAAGATGAGGACAATAGTCCGACTAATGTAGGTAAACACCTGTGTTACGATCTTGTGAATATAGATTGCGTAAAGAGAAGCGCGAGTTTTGACGAAGGGACAGACGTTGCTAAAGATGGCAAGGGATAGAAGCTTGTGGAGAGCCATAATCGGTTAT